GCTCCTGGCTTCAGTCTGCCCAAGATCAGGCTGTTAAGGCCATTTGGGAAGTGAAGTGATGGTTGGAAGCTCTCTCTTTTTCTCTTCCTGTTGCTCTTTCAAATAAATAGATTAATCCAAAAAGAGTTAAAAATTACCGTGATGCGTATACTTTATGACATAACTTTTTCACTAAGCATTTTATACATATTTTAAAGATTTATTTATTTATTTGAAAGGCAGAGTTACAGGGCCAGTGTTATAGCATAACAGATTAAGCTGCTGCCTGTGACACAGGCTCTGGTTGGAGTCCCAGCTGCTCTACTTCTGATCCAGCTCCATGCTAATGTGCCTGGGAAAGCAGTGGAGGAGGGCTCAAGCCCTTGGACCCCTGCACCCACGTGGGTGACCCAATTGAAGTTCTTTGTTCTTGGCTTCAGCCTGGTGTAGCCCTGGCCATTGTGGCCATTTGGAGAGTGAAACAGCAGATGGGAGATCACTCTTCCTCTCCTTTTCAAATAAAGTATAGATCTTAAAAAAAAAAAAAAAAGCAGAATTACACACAGAGATAGATAGCTTCCATCTGCTGGTTCATTGCCCAGATGACCACAAAAGCATGGCCAGGGCTGCTCATAAGCAGAGCAGAGATTTGCATATTTTGTGATGTGGTCGTTCCAGAGAATGTTGTGCTAAAACCGTGATTGAGAGGAGCTTCGTGCTGCAGTGTGAGCGCTCACCTGGTTACGGCAGAGTGCACAGAACCTTCTCTGCGTTCTGAAAGTAAGCACTTGCACATACATATGCACATTTTATTAAAAAGAAAACTCAGTGGTCCATGAACCTCTTTCCAATTGGCTTATGCACTTCTAGGAAAAACAAACCAACTTGAAAAGCCACAGAGCAAAGCCTTAGTGAGAAACCTGTTCTGAGATTAGTGTGCATCATCAGCAGTAGTTAAAGTAGGGGCGGCGCTGTGGCCCAGCAGGGAAAGCTGCTGCCTACAGTGCGCAGATCCCATATGAGCAATGCCTGGATTCTGAGTGTTACAGAAACCCGGGCTGGGAAAACTGGCCCGAGACAGCGGAGGGTGGAAAACAGCTTTTTTTTTTTTAAACTTTTAAACTTTTATTTAATAAATATAAATTTCCAAAGTACAACTTTTGGATTATAGTGGCTTTTCCCCCCATAACCACCCTCCCACCCACAACCATCCCATCTCCCACTCCAATCCCATTCTTCATCAAGATTCATTTTCAAGTATCTTTATATACAGAAAATCAATTTAGCAGATACTAAGTAAAGATTTCAACAGTTTGCACCCATACAGAAACACAAAGTATAAAGTACTGTTTGAGTAGTAGTTTTACCATTAGTTCGCATAGTACAACACATTAAGGACAGAGATCCTACCTAAGGAGTAAGTGCACAGTGACTTCCATTGTTGATTGAACAATTCACACTCTTATTTATGATGTCAGTAATCACCCGAGGCTCTTGTCATGAGTTGCCAAGACTAGGGAAGCATTTTGAGTTCGCCGACTCTGATCATATTTAGACAAGGTCATAGTCAAAGTGGAAGTTCTCTCCTCCCTTCAGAGAAAGGTACCTCCTTCTTTGATGGCCTGTTCATTCCACTGGGATCTCACTCACAGAGATCTTTAGGTCATTTTTTTTTTGCCAGAGTGTCTTGGCTTTCCATGCCTGAAATACTCTCATGGGCTTTTTAGCCAGATCTGAATGCATTAAGGACTGATTCTGAGGCCAGAGTGCTGGGGAAAACAGCTTTTTAATGCCCGCCGCCTCGGTGGGAATCATTTCCTGAGACTGAGCCTGGAACCCAGGTTTCTCACCATATTTGTGGGTTCATCAGCCTCATGCAGTAACCAATACAGCACTGGTGGGTTTAAACTGCAGCCCAAGTGACTTAGGACCATGTTGGTGGGTCCCGTGTGTTTGTAAAGGAGACACCTGGGGCAGATTTCTAGGACGGATTTATGACTGGAGTTACAGAGGCAGAGCCTAGGACACCTTCCCTCCCTAGACAGGATAACTGTGGGCAGCTGCTTCAGACAAGTGCAAGCAGCCACTTTCAAGGTTGTGTTGGGGTCCTGCCTTCCTTCCTCTCTGCAGCCTCCTTTCCTCTTGCTGGCGGCTCCACTTCCCACCCAGCTCCCTGCTATGGCCTGGGAAAAGCAGCGGAAGACGGCCCAAGTGCTCGGGCCCCTGCACTCACGTGGGAGACCTGGAGCAAACTCCTGAATTCCACTCGGCCTTGCCCTGGCCATTGTGACCATCAGGGGTGTGAACCAGCAGATGGAAGACCCCTCTCTCTCTCTGTCTCTTCCTTTCGTCTGTAACTCTGCCTTTCAAATAAACAAATTAAAAAAAGTCAAGCTGAGATTACCAACAGCAAGGATATAAAATGTGGAGGGGTTACGACAAGATTCACTTAGCATCGAGTACCGGTGTGTGAGGTTAGGCAATGAAATTAGTGTGTAGAGAGGTTAATTTTATTTTGCTGTTGATATTCAGAGATCGCTTTTTGTCAAATTTGATTTGACATCTTAATTCTGTAAAATATTGAAACACCCCCAAAGTCAAATTTACAGAAGCAGATGTGCTCAAACAAGCCCAGCTTCTAAGTCTGCGGAAAGACTGCGTAGTGAGTGAGCATCTCTCTGTGAGACTGTCCCCATTACGGCCTCCCTCACCCCCAGCCTGGCCCCGCCCTCAGGACAGCTCCTCTGCCCTCCTCCCTCTTCTTGCTGGTCCCCACACTGGTGTGCAGCAACTTCCTCTCATTCCTTTGTCGATCTGATCTCTTTTCCCACCCAAATAAGTGGTCATAGTTCTTCAGGCTCAGGCCCAATGTCATCCCCCTTCAAGTTTCCCAGTGTTTCCCAGAAAGAATTGACTTTCTTCCCTCTGGGTGCTAAGAGCGTCACCGTGATGTGGGTGCCCGCGAGCTGTCTGCCTCCTGGACTGGGCTGCCCAGCTCTCTGAGCAGAGGGGAGACTCTCGGAGAAGCATTTGCACACAGTAAGTGCTTAGACCTGACGACCTGATGGAGGACTTGCAGTGTGGAATTACCGTGGAGGCTGTAGGTCCTGCAGAAGGGATCTCCCTTAGTTCTGGTCCCTGACAAGCTTTCATTGTCTGCAACCCCTCCAAGCTCATGGGCCATTGCCCCAACCACAGCTCAATTCCCTTGAGCCCTTCTCCTGAGCCTGTACCTCCTCCTCTGGACTCCAGGACGTGGGCAGCGCTGGCTGAGTGGGAGAGGGGAGGACACCTGTGCTGAGAGGTTTGGGGGAACCCCGTGTATGAGCCCAGCCACCACCAAGAGCAGAAGTGAGACCAAAGAAAGAGGACAGAAGCGCCGTCTTGGGCAGAAGCAACATGATGGGTGCCCATGCCAGAAAGACTGGCGAAAAGAGGCTTTATGGGAAAAAGGTGGCCTGTGGCTAGATGGAGTGCACCTGGACTTTCTCAAGAACTGTGAAAGTTTGTCTTGGTTTTCCATCACCTGTTTTTGGGAACCGATGAGAGAAGTGCAAGATAGTGAATCATCAGGAGTAGAAACGTAGTCATTGAAAAATGTTGGCAGGCTATGGAAATCTTACGCGGGAACCTTTCCTTTAAACATTAGATTGCATATTTTTGTGCCAATAAACATGTCTCACTCTGGGAAACAAAAAGAAGACCTAAATGAAAGATCTCTGAGAGTGAGATCCCAGTGGAAAGAACAGGTCATCAAAGAAGGAGGTACCTTTCTCTGAAGGGAGGAGAGAACTTCTACTTTGACTATGACCCTGTCGGAATAATATCGAAGTCAGTGAACCCAAAGGCTTCCATAGCCTTGGCAACTCATGACTAGAGCCTAGGGAGATTACTGACGCCATAAACAAGAGTGTCAAATTGTTAAGTCAACAACAGGAGTCACTGTGCACTTACTTCTCATGTAGGATCTGTCCTTAATATGTTGCCCAATGTGAAGTATTGCTATAATTAGTACTGAAACAGTATTTTTACACTTTGTGTTTCTGTGTGGGTGCAAACTGATGAAATCTTTACTTAATATATACTAAATCCATCTTCTGTATATAAAGATACTTGAAAATGAATCTTGATGTGAATGGAATGGGAGAGGGAGCGGGAGATGGGAGGGGTGTGAGTGGGAGGGAAATCATGTGGGGGGGGAAGCCAATGTAATCCATAAACTGTACTTTGGAAATTTATATTTACTAAATAAAAAAAAGAAAGAAAAAAATAAATAAATATGTCTCAAAATGATTAGTTTTTGTAAAAAAATTTATTTACTTTTTTAAAAGGCAGAGAGAAAGAGAGAGAGAGAGAGAGAGAGAGAGAGAGATCTTCCCTATGATAGCTTACTTACCAAATGGCTACAATGTCCAGGGCTGGGCCAGGCTGAAACCAGGAGCCTGGAGCTTCATTTGGGCCTCCCACATGGGTGCGGGGGCTCAAGCACTTGGACCATCTTCTGCTGCTTTCCCAGGCCACAGCAGGGAACTGGTTGTCCATATGGGATCCTGGTGTCTCAGCAGTGGCTTAATCCACTGTGCCACAACACCAGCCCCTATATTTACTTCCTCACGTTAGTATATTCACATTTCATAATCAAACCAATAGGTAATTGGCATACATTCTCATGATCCACATGGCTAAGATTAGAACTTTTCATACAAAAATTAATGTTCTTAATTTTACACTGACATTTCAGGCTCTTGATAAAATAGTGTCACATTGTCTTTCAGAAAAGTGACATCATTTTTAATCTTACTATAAGTATATATTCCACTGTCCTCTGCCTAAGCTTGTCTTAATAGTGACAAGTATTTGGCTAGTGTTTCAACCTGTGAAATGACATGTATGTAAATTGTTTTCAATTCTTATATCAATTCTGTATCTCTATTATTTTTCAATAATTGCCTAGAGGTTTAGCCAGGGAAGGTTATTGCAGAATTTTGTTTTTGTTACAGTAATTAACTGGAGACAGGTTTTTTTTTTTTTTTAAGATTTGTTTATTTATTTAAAAAGGCAGAGTTACAGAGATGCAGAGACAGAGAGAGAGGTCTTCCATCCCCTGGTTAACTTCCCCAGATGACTGCCATAGCCAGAGCTGAGCCAATGGAAGGCAGGAGCCAGGAGCTTCTTCCAGGTCTCCCACGTGGCTGCAGGGGCCCAAGCACTTGGGCCATCTTCTACTGCTTTCCCAGGCCACAGCAGAGAGCTGGATGGGAAGTGGAGCTGCCGGGACTCAAACCAGCACCCATATGGGATGCCGGCACTGCAGTGGGCGGCTTTACCCGCTACGCCACAGCGCCAGCCCCTGGCGACAGTCTTTCACTTCATGAACAGATGAGGACGGATTACCTACAGTGTGATACAGTCACGCCACCAACGCCAGGCAGAGTTGAAAAGAAGTAAATCCGTTCTTGGAGGATGTTCAGGACGTACTGTTCTGATTTACAAGCCAGCGACAGCGGAGCCTGTAGCTGTATTTTCAAAAATGAGCATCGTGCTGCGGAGGGTAGCTCGCTTGGCGCACGGGAGGGCGCGGCTGGAGCGCAGCTAGTCGCCCTGGCTCGCGCGCAGCTAGTCCCGCTGTCTCTCAATTCCTGTAACCTGCCACTCTTGCCTTGGGGCAGCGGCACCCAACACCACAGAGTCAAGGTCGCGTGGGCGGAGAGCCGTGGTGCGCCCAGGAAGCTGGCAGTGCAGGCCTGAGAATATGAAAAGGCAGTTAGAATATACAGGCATGTGTGTAGCTCAGAGAGAATAAAAGGACTGTTTCGTGTCATGACTGCTCGTCGGCTTCCTCTTCATGAACTTCCCTGTGCCATTCTGTGCATAGGACGAAGCAGAACCAAGGCCATGCAAGTGACCGCACTATTTGGCATCATCAATATGATCTTCAAAGAACATCTAAAAAGGAATTTTGAAGGAAAAATAGATAACTTGAACCAAAAAGTACCCTTTGTAGTTTATTTTTCAAGTATCTGACTGTTTGTGAACCACAATGACTCTTCTCTCTGGTGTTCCCTTGAGACCACACATTTAAGTTCAATGAATAAAACTGCTGTCCCTCAGGAAGTCCAGGGCTCAAAAGAGACTCAAGAAAGAGACTACTTAGAAAGTGTGTGTTTTCCCCATTCACATTTAGACCACTTTTATCAGGATGTATAAGCATGGAAAACTAGACATTTTTCATGTCATTAATTTAATAATATTAAACAGCAGAAGTGGTGAAAATAGCCAATGGTGGCGGGGATAAAACCTGTGCAAGGCTGAAAGAGCTAAAAATAAACTCCAAACATATTCTGGACAGCTAAACCCAAACATTCCCACTAAGTTATCGTCCTTGAAAAAGGCAGGAAAATAAAAAAGATAACAAATTAGTGCCAAAAAGCCACCACTGATTAACCATGAAGGCATTTTGAAAATGGAAATGTGGAAAAATGCAAAAGGCTGCTTTAAACAGGACAGCGAAATCACTTCGGAATCTGACTTGGAGAACAGCTTTAAGGCTTTCTGTTATGCACACCGTGGTCTGGGCCACCGTGCAGGTGCTGGACTCTGGCCTTTGGATTGGACAGAAGCGTCCCAAGGAGCAACTCCACTGGCCACTGGCTGCGCAGCCTCCACCCCCCTTTAACACCAGAGCCCTGTTAGCTCTGAGCACTCAGGGCAGGACAGGGTAGTTTGAGTTGTCAGGCAGGGGACTGAGCTTCTCACTTGCTGCCCCTCCAATTACTGAAAAGAAACAACAAACAAAAAAAAAACTGCTCAAAAAGACGTGCGAGCAGAAAATAAGAAAAAGAGACATGAGGAATCTCACGCACATTTAAGGAAAGCAGCAACCTTCAACAATAGCGCTAGAATTTACCTTGTGGGAGACAGCCCTGCCCTCTGTTTTAGACTCAGACTCAATGCTAGCCTGAAACTTGAAAGAGGAAGTTGTAAGGAGCCTGACAATTGCCTCAGAGCGATGGAAGGTCCTCTCTCCCTTCCACCAATAACCGCCCTTGAAAGAGGGGAGTTGCAGTCCTTAAATACCAGCTCTCACAAGCCTCCAGAGCTGACACTCACTCCAGGATGGAGCTGCTGCCCGGGCACCGCTTCCCTTCTCTGCTGCTTCTACTGCTGCCTCTGCTGGCAGCCGGGCTCTGAGTGCCGCTGGCCGGTGAGTGCTTTCAGGGCAGGGCACAGGGCAGGGAGAGAGGGTGGGGACCTCCTCGCGGGCCTGCACGTCTCTGTGGAGGCTTCTCCCAGAAGTCACAGGAGGAGGATGGGAGGCGGCGGTGGAAACTGCTGGTGGGTGCCCCAGCCCCGTCCTCCGAAACTGGGTGCTGAGCCTGGATGAGTGCGGACCCTGCACGGAGGCGACCGCGGCCATCCCCCTCCCTGCCTGCATCCACAAACTCCCCCTTCAACCCACCAGTGTCCACTCACTGCCTCACCGCTCACAGCCTCATCAGGCCACGGCCCTCCTGAGTTGCTGAGTCCCTGTGAGCCTCTGAGCCAGTCTCAGCACGGGACCAGGAACGCTGGGCTTCCAGTCCAATCTGTCCCTTTCTCATCGGGCGGGTCCTGACTTCTCCCCTACCCCTTGGCGCCTATCCTCTGCCTGAGGACACCCCAGGCAAGCAAATCCCCAGCCCAGGATCCTAAGTCTAAGGGGTGGGGACACCATTCTGCACCCCCCCCCCCCTTTCAGGCAACTTCTGCACTTCCCCTGCCTGCATGAGACAGCACTGTAGAAGATGAGCTTTTTTTCACACAGGAGTTGGCCAACTTGTGTGCAAAGGGGACTTACTGGCTCTGAGTCATCTGTTTCCCCAGCTGCTCAATTTTTCTTGGTGTCCTCAGTGACACCACCAGCCAGGGACAACTTGCAAAGGAACTAGGGCCCAGATCTGAGCAGGGTCCCATTTGCCCACCCCAGGTTCGCGGCATCCTCAATGCCCTGGCTGCTGGAGCCCCAGCCCACAGGGTGTCCTCTGAGTCCCAGCCTGAGCCTCAGACGGTAACATGAATCCAGGTGAAGACATCAAGAGTTAGACACAGGTGCCAACACCGGGGATATGACAGAGGACACTAATGTGCATCTGTTTGCCTCTGTCATTACCTGTCTGATTTAAAAGATAACTGCATGAATGATAATTAGAACACTGTGTTGTTGGGCTTATATTGTGTAAAGATGTGATGTGTTTGACAAGAATAGCACAAGGCAGGGAATGGAACATCATGGTTGTGAAAGTGCCCTGATTGTGAACTTGGCTAAGACGCTAACTATAACCCTCAAGGCATCTAGTTAAGAAAATAATTCAAATGATGCAGAAAAGGAAACAAAAGAGTCAAAATAGTAATGAGTTCAGGTGGTTTGTTGGGGGTAAGACCTGTGAAATATAAAAGTTGAGGTAAACTGAAATTGGCCAGCGAGAAACTTTTGGTCACTGTGCAGATTTGTGTACAAAGTTCCCAACAGAAACTCTATAATAGAAATGAGAAAAGCTTAATCATCCACAAAAAATGCCTTTGATGAAATTGTCTAATTGCTAGATTAATATTTATGAGGCCATTGATGGTGATGCATGGGGTAAGTTTTCTCATTTCGCAAGAATTCTAAATTTATAGAACGACTGTTCAGAAATCATGATCTCCCATAAATAAATGGTTTATTTATTTATATAACAAAATATCTTGTTTTTTGGTTTCCTTTTTTATTGAGATAAATATACATAAATTTAAAATGTACAAAGACAGGGGTGGGTGTTGTGACATAGTGGATTAAAACTCTCACTTGTGATGCCGGTATCTGAGTGCCAGTTTGAGTCTCAGCTGCTCCACTTCCAATCCAGCTCCCTGATAACAAACCTGGGAAAGCAGTACAGGATGACCCAAGTGCCTGGGCCCCTGCACCCACGTGGGAGACCAGATGAAGCTTCTGGCTCCTGGCTTCAGCCTGGCACCACCCCAGCCATTGCAGCCATTTGGGGAGTGAACCAGTGAATGGAAGATCCGTTTCTGTCTCTTCCTTCTGTGTAATTCTGCGTTTCAAATAAACAAAAAAATAAATCTGTAAACTAAATGTAAAAAGGATAATAATCTGGTTTCAGTTTTGATAAATTTTTCTGTCTTAGCCAAAGAATTTCAAAGTCAAAATTAGAAATCTCCAAACAGTGTAGGAAAAAATTGAACTTAGTATCTATGATTTTTATTTTGTAAACGACTTATTTGATCTATTTGAAACTCAGAGTGACAGAGTGAGAGGGAGAGAGAGAAAAGAAAGATCTTCCATCTTCTGGTCCTCTCCACAAATGACTGGGCTGAAGCCAGGAGCCAGAACTCCATCTGAGTCTCCCAAGTACTTGGGCCACCATCCATTGTTTTCCCAGGCTCCTTTGTAGGGAACTGGATTGGAAACAGAGCATCCAGGATTTAAAGCGAGGCTCCAATGTGGGATGCCAGTGTTGCATCAAAATGCCAGGCCCCATCTATGATTCTTAAAATGTGTTGCAGTACACATATGTGTTGGGTCTCCAAATAAATAAGAGCCTCTACATATTTTAGAGGTCTTAAAAGAAGCCCGTTTGTGTTAATAACTTTAGATCACTCTGTCACCTGTCACCGGTATTTGAATTACATAAGAACTCTTCAAAACAAGCCTGGGAAAAGGGCATTATCTCCTCATTCCACTTTCCAATGACTTTTTAAAATCCTTTTGTGCGGCTGGCGCTTTGGCTCACTAGGCTCATCCTCTGCCTTGCGGCGCCGGCACACTGGGTTCTAGTCCCGGTCGGGGCACCGGATTCTGTCCCATTTGCCCCTCTTCCAGGCCAGCTCTCTGCTGTGGCCCGGGAGTGCAGTGGAGGATGGCCCAAGTGCTTGGGCCCTGCACCCCATGGGAGACCAGGAGAAGCACCTGGCTCCTGCCATCGGATCAGTGCGGTGCGTGGGCTGAAGCGCGCTGGCCGCGGCGGCCATTGTAGGGTGAACCAACGGCAAAGGAAGACCTTTCTCTCTGTCTCTCTCTCTCACTGTCCACTCTGCCTGTCAAAAAAAATAAAAAAATAAATAAAAAAAATCCTTTTGTGCCTCAGTGAGCCAGCATCGCACTAAGGAAGGTACCCTGTCCCCTGATTTGTTACCCCAGGAGTTCTCAGCAGGTGGCTTCCTGCTTCAAAAGCGCCCACGAGGAAATCTAATGCACTGAGTTTGTTCCTCCCTCAGAACCTCAGGTGTGTTCTCATGGCCTGTGGACAAACTCTTATCAGCAGAAACCAGCTCAGCTCCTCTGAGCATGGGTGGAGCCCGCAGAGCTGGCCTATCACCAGGCAAACCCAAGTGGCACCATCTGGCAGCTACCAAATGCCGGTCTTTCTTGGATGGGATTCCTTGGAAGTTCAGCTCTCCAATTCTTTTCAAATGAAAGATCTCCAGTTCTTTTCAGTGAGAAGGAGCAGTTCACCAGCCCTGCCTCTCTTGCAACATCTGCTTCGGTCTGTCTTAAGGCTCCATGTAAGCACTCACAATTACCCTGTTCCTACCCTCACACTCTCAGCTGCCCTCTCCCTCTCCCTCTCCATTCCCTCTGCCCCACAGCACAGGCCAGCACACAGCTCTGCACTCCTCCCTAACACTTGCTATTGCCTGTCTTTGATGGCAGCTGCCAAAATGATGGTGAGGTGGTGTCTCTTTGTGGTTTTCATTTGCGTTTCCCTGAGGGCTAATGACACCGAGCATCTTTTCATAGGCTCATTGGTCATTTGTATATCTTTGGAGAAATGTCTGCTTAAATTATTAGCCCATTGTAAAAGATTTTATGGGGCCTGCGCTGTGGTGTAGAGGGTAAAGCCACCACCTGTAGTGCCGGCATCCCACGTGAACACTGGTTCCAGTCCTGGCTGCTCCACTTCCAATCCAGCTCTCTGCTATGGCCTGGGAAAGCAGTAGAAGATGGTCCAGGGCCTTGGGCCCCTGCACCCATGTGGGAAACCTGGAAGAAGCTCCTGGCTCCTGGCTTCGGATTGGCGCAGCTCCAGCCATTTCAGCCAATTGGGGAGTGAACCAACGGATGAAAGACATCTCTCTCTCTCTCTCTCTGAATTTCAAATACATAAATAAAGTCTTAAAAAAAAAGAATTTATTTCTTTGCTTATTTGAAAGGGGGAGGGGGAGAGAGAGAGAGAGGGAGAGGGAGATTGGGTCTGGGGAGTTGGATGGAAGCTTCTCAGGTGGTGGCATTTTTGAAGGAAGAATAAGGCCAGGTGTGAGATGTTGACACATGTTCCAGAAAAGAGGCCTGGAGACATAAAGACATACTTAGATTTGGGACCAATGAGTCATTGTTTATTGGGGTGAGGTGGAAAAGGGAAGAGGGACAGAATGCCCCGTGGCAGTCCCTGCCTCCATTCTCAGTAAAGCAACCAGGAAATCAATGCACCATTCACACACATGGGCTATTGTACACACAGACACAGACACTCACACTGGGGGGGTGGGCTCGCTATATTCCCATTACCTGTCACGACGTCTGGGGTTGTGGCCCAGCACACAGAGGATTCTAAAGCCAGTAAAAGCAACCTGACTGTGCGATCTGGAATACTTGGGCAGTCCCTCAGTGTGATATTTCCCCTGTCCCCTTGGCTCTAGGATGAACAGGGTCCAGTGGCTTTCACTGGATCAAAAAGAGAGAAATCTGTCCCAGGGCTGAACTGCTGGACCATCAGGGTACCCGTCTGCTTTTGGCCAACACAACATCTTGACTGCAGGGTGGGAGCACTGTTCCCTCCCCAAGGACACCACCTTGTATCAGCGTGGACCCCTCATGCTCCATCAGTACCCAGGGGACCTTGTTCTCTCTTTGACCCATGGTTTGGTTCCCAAGAGGCTGTGGGACAAACATGGAGCAAACCCACCTGGGATATTGGACTATTTGAGGGACACACAGTGTTGGACACTGTGGGAAGCACTAGGTTATGCTGACGTTGATACCTTGAGCTTTGGCCATCTATGTTTTCAGCAGTCACTGGATCCCAGAAAGTTGTTGGACACTCAGCAGACAGTGAGTAGCCAGGACATCCTGGGTGATGTGGGACGTGTCCAGTGACCAAGGATGGGCAGAGTCCTCCTGGGGAGAAGGCAGAACTTGGTAGCCAGTGGGGTGAGGGGCCGAGGTTGGAGGGGAACATCCCAGAACCAAGGTTGTTTGTAGAATATCCAGAGAGGGGGGGAGCAGTCTGAGGGTGGGACTGGGGTCTCACCTGGGTGCTCACAACAGCTAGGGGGTTGAAGTCAGGATCTGGGGATTCAATCTGGATCTTCCACGTGGGTGGCAGGAACCCAATCACTTGAGCCATCCCTGCTACCTTTTAGCATCCATATTAGCAGGAAGCTGGAATCAAGAGGTGAAGCCAGGAGTTAAACCCAGGCACTCCAGTGTGGGACATGGGCATCATAATTGGTGGTTTAACCCCTAGACCAAATGCCTGCTCCTCCCCAGGGTTTTATTTATTTATCTATCTATCTATCTATCTATCTATCTATTTACTTACTTGTTTGAGAGAAGGAGAGGAGAGAGACACACACTGAGTGCTCTCATCTGCTGGTTTACTCCCCAGATGCCTGCAATGGCTGGGACTGGACTCAGTTTGGGTCTCCCACAAGAGTGGCAGGAACCCAATTACATGAGCCATCACTGCTGCCTCCCAGGGTCTGCATTAGCAGGAAGTTGGAGTCAGGAGCTGGAGGGGGCATCACACCCAGGTCCTCTTATGAGGGACATGAGTGCCCTAATTGCCAGGAGGTGCCTGCCCCCAAAGTATCTGTTTCTATCCTTTTATTCTCTTTTTTCTTATTTAATAAATGTGAATTTACAAAGTGCAACTTTGGTATTGTTGTGCCCCCCCAACCTCCCTCCCTCCCGTGGGCCTCCCCTCTCCTACTCCCTCTCCCATCCCGCCCTACATCGAGTTTCATTTTCAATTACCTTCATATACTGAAGATCAACTTAGTATATACTAAGCAAGGATTTCAATAGGCTGTACTCACACAACCGCACAAGGTATAGGGTATTGTTTGACTAGTAGTGTTGTCTTTAAGTTTCATAGTAAAACACATTAAGGACAGAGATCCTATGTAGTGAGAATGTACCCAGTGACCCCCGTTGTAGATTTAACAATTGGCACTCTTATTTATGACGTCAGCAATCACCCGAGACTCTTGCTATGAGCTGTCTAGGCTATGGAAGCCCCTTGAGTTCACCGACTCTGAACTTTAGTCAAGGCCATATCACAGTGGAGGTTCCTTCCTCCCTTCAGAGAAAGGCGCCTCCCTCCTTGATGGCCTGTTCCTTCTGCTGGGGTCTTGTTCACCAGGATCTTTCATTTAGGTTGTTTCTGCCACTGTGTCATGGCTTTCCATGCCTGTGAGACTCTCATGGGCCTTTTATCCAGATCCCAATGCCCCAAGGGTTGATTCTGAGGCAGGACTGCTGCCATTCTATGAGTCTGCTGTGTGTCCTGCTTCCCCCGCAGGATCATTCTCTCCCTTTTAATTCTATCCTTCATTATTTGCTTACACTGGTCTTATTTGTGAAATATCTTTGACACTTACCCTTCTTTTTGATCGGTTATGTAGTTATACTTATCATTTTACCAAGTGCGCTGGCATTGGTACATGCCTCCTTGATAAGATTGAATTGGAATCCCCAGCACATTTCTAGCTCCACCATTGGATATCCCTTTATTTTCAGCCCATTTATATCTCTGGATCTAAGTAAGTCTCCTGGAGCTAGCATACGTTTTTATCATTGACTTTTGACACTTTGCTGATTGGAGAGTTTAATTCATTCATGTTTGCAGTAATTCCTGATAAGGCAGAGCGACTTCTTTCTGCTGTTAGTTTTCTGTATGTGCTATCGGTTTTCATCACTCATTTCCTGCGTTCCTGCCTTCTTTTGTGTTTGGTTGATTTTTTTTGAGGTGAAATGTTTTAATTCCCTTCTCATTTGCTTTTGTATGTATTCTGCAGTTGTCTTGGGGGCTACATTCTACATTCTGTAGATGTAATACTCTAGTTTGAATTTTTGCCAGCTTAACTTCAGTAAGATCCTACAACCACATTCCTATTTTCTCCATCTCCAATCGTTTTGTTATTGATACCACAAAATGATATATTTATACATCGTATGTCCAAAAACATCAACTACTGATCGCTTTTTCATACCTCAAAATGTAGAGTTACAAATCAAGGTTGCAATAACCACAGCTTTAGAGCTACTAATAGTTTCCTTAAAAAGTGTTAACCTCTTAAATCCTGTAGAGAACAAGAAATGGAGCTACAACACACAGTAGAGCAACACGAACTCTTACAGTGCTTACGTGTGTACCTTCTCTGAGAGCCTTGTTTCCTCGTGTGGCTTCGTACTACTTAGTGTCCCTTTATTTCACCTTACTGGGCTCCCTTACACATCCTGGCAGGGCGAGTCTAGTGAGGCGGACCTTCCTCAGCTTTGTTGACCTGTGAGTGTCTTCACTCCTCTCTCACTTAGGAAGGAGTGCTTTTCCAGAGGTGGGATTCCTGGAGGACGGCTGCTAGCACTTTGCCTCCTGAGCAGGTGGGTCCCTCTCCTGACCTGAAGCTTCCAACAGCAATCTGCTGCTGAGCTCACTCGGGCTCCCTTGTGTGGGAGGAGCCACTTCTCTCTCGCTGCTTTGAAGATTTTGCCTTTGCTTGCAGTTTGGTCGTGGTGTGTCTTTGCAGGAGTCTCTTGGAGGTCGTTGGATTTCTTGCACGTTTATATGGAAGGCTGACCTCCAATCTGGGACGTGTTCAGCCAGTATTTCTTCAGAGAATCGCCTCTCCCCTCTGCCTCTCTGCTCCTCTGGGATCCACAGAGCACACACGTGGGACGCTAGGCTGTGTGCACAGTGTTCCTCAGAGACGATCATCTCAATTGTCCAACTTTCACTTCTCTGATTCCTTCTCCTGCCCTCTCCAATCTGTGTTCCAGTCCCTCTAGGGGGCTTTTCCTTTTTGTTTTTATTTTTAAGCTCTAGAATTCATTTTTTGGTCCTTTTTGAGGTTCTCTGTTTCTTTATTGAAACTTCCAATTTCTCATGCATTTTCCCTTTTTTAAAACAATATTTTATTTATTTTTTTATTTATTTGAGAGGTAGAGATACAGACAGTGAGAGGGAGAGACAGAGAGAAAGGTCTCTGTCCGCCGGTTCACTCCCCAAATGGCCGCTATGGCTGGAGCCAGGAGCCACGAGCTTCCTCTGGGTCTCCCATGCAGGTGCAGGGGCCCAAGGACTTGGGCCATCCTCTACTGTCTTCCCAGGCCACAGAAGAGAGCTGGATTGTAAGAGGAGCAGCCGGGACTAGAACTGGTGCCCATATGGGATGCTGGAGCCGCAGGTGGAGGATTAACCTACCTTGCCACAGCACCGGCCCCGCATTGTTTTCTTAACTTTCTCTCTGTGCCTTTATTTGTCTTTCTGATCTTTAAGAGCGTTGTTTTAACGTCTGTATAGCAAGCCTGCCTTCCTATCTTTCTGGGAGATGGTGTAGTTTTTTTCATTGAATGGGGCTTTTTAAATTTCTTTGTATGTCTTGTGATGTTCTTATAAAAATGGGACAGTGGAACCTACTGATGTAGTAACTCTGAATGTCGGATTCTCTCCTTTCCACAGGGTCTGCTGGTTTTTGTTCTTTGATTTTGATTGCCTTTCTCTGGGACAGGAAACAGGCTGAGGTGTAAGGGCCTTTTTGAGACTCTGCATTTCTGTGTGTGTATATGTTGTGAATTTCTGTATTTTCTCATAGCTTCCTCAAGTACCTAAGTAAAAGTAGATCTGCTAGTTGATCCAGCTATTCCAAATCTGGGAATATATCCAAAAGAACTGAGATCAGCATTTAAAAGAAATGCCTGCACTCCTATGTTCAGTGCAGCTTATTCACGATAACCAAGTTATGAAATCAACCTAAGTGTCCACTGATGTGTGAATGCATAAGGAAAATGTGGTCTATGTACACAATGGTGTATTAGTCATAAAAAGAAGGAAGGAAATTCTGACATCTGTAGCAAAATGGGTGGGATTGGAGATCATTATGTTAGGTGAAATATGCCAGACTCAGAAAGACAAATACGGTATGTTTTTTCTCATATGTGGAAGCTAACAAAACAGTTGACCTGAACTTAGCATAGTGATTGCTACAGGCTGGGGAGGGTGGGGGAAGAGGGCTAGAAGGAGGTCAGGTAATAGGTGCTAAGACACAGACAGAGCGAGCCGGTTGCTATGGCCCAAGCATGGGGGATGACTAATGTCTTGCATACAAGAACTAGAAGGAATGGGACGGTGGGGGCCAAACATGGAGCAAGGATGAGGAGAACAAACAGCAGCTTGCCAGGCATGACTGGCTTATGCCGTCTGTGCACTGAAGTATTGTTCTGTACCTCATCAAAGGAAACAAGTACTACACCTTAACCAAAGATTTTAGCTTGGGGCTGGCGCTGTGGCTCAGCAGGTTAAGCTGCTGCCTGTGATGCCAACATCCCATACTAGCACCGATTTGAGTCCCGGTTGCTCTGCTTTCCATCTAGCTTCCTGCTAATGTGCTTGGGAGAGCAGTGGAAGAGGGTGGCTCTGGCCTGGCCCAGCTTTGGCTTTTGTGGGCATCTGGAGAATGAACCAGTGGATAGAAGATCTCTCTCTCTCTCTCTTTCTCTGTGTGTGTGTGTGTGTGTGTGGTTGTGTGCCTGCCTTTCCCTCTTTCTCTCTCTCTCACTCTTTCAAATAAATAAATCTCATAAACAAGTAAAAATTTAAACAATTGAAATGAAAAATATTTCAACGAAAATTATTACCTCTGCATACCTCACTCCAAACTGGCCTTCACAAGCTGGTTCAGGAATCTCTTCTAGGACTGCCATCAAACTCACAGGAGTGGGCTTTGCATACTCCCGAGCAAACAGGGCTTCACTTTGCCCTCCAATTAGGGGTGACCGGCACCTGATGGGCTTGACTTTCCTCCAGACATCCTCCAGCACACAAGACCAGCAGTCACAACTTTATCCAGCCCGTGATATCCATAGTGAGAGGTGCAGAAACCTAATTCCACTGTGGAACACTGCTGTCCTTGTTCCTAATACAGTGCCCATGAGACCTTGTGTGTAACACGTAGCATACTCCCCACAGTGGCTCAGTACTCCTATTTGCAGAGTGCTCAGAGTTCTGCAATGTGAATATCTTGAGCCAGAAAGCTGAAGTTGAGAACGCTGAGAATTCTTCAACTTTTTGCTACTTCCTCTGAGAATTTCCTTTTTTCCCTTTACAAGGTTTGTTCTGTCCTTTTGAGTTTCAGAGTCACTCCCCTCACCTAAAAGCTAGA